TAGTCCGATTTAAATGACAATTACAAAATATTATCATATTTCCATAAGAGTGTCACTAAATTAATATCAGACATTTTTGAAGACCAAGGAGAGGGAGTGGTCATGGTGAAACATCCAAACATTTAGTGTCTAATGTCCTCATATGAGGATGCAAGGTCTCAGGAGGTTATAAGAACTGTTCACTGAAAACTCCAAAATGATTTTTCTGTTGCATCACTATGAAAAGCCCCTTTTGGAGCCGTTATTTTTAAGAGTGTAAAGAAGTGAAATGTAAATAATTCACTGTAAGTCAAGTAAAACTGATAAGGCCACCTGTAAAAAATAAGTTTGAAGAATACAGATATATTATGCAGGGTCTGTAGTGTCTCAGAGTCATCCTTGTTAGTGCCTGCTGAAGCATGTCAGATATATCAAAGCACATAGTTGGTTTCCTCTTCAGTCGCTGGGCCTGAGGGAGCACATTAGCATAGTTCTAATTAGCTCTTATGCCATATGCCAAAGGCTGAATATGCAGCTCAGGGAATATTTTCACCGAAATCTGAAAAACTCCCTTAGTTATGCTACCCACTGTCAAATTTGAGCATATTCACTAGTATTGTGAATGGTGTTCGCGAAACACTTGCATGCGTTCAGTGTTGCCAATGCTACATGGCTGTTGAAAAGCATGTGCCTATTCTTTGTTTCTCTATTTTGCAATTAATCTCTCATCTTAAACCGGTTATTAAAAAGTCGATGTGAATTGGTGTTTGCAATCCAATTTATTTCCACAATTTGACATATTTGAGAGCACAACAGGACATTCAATGATAAGAATGTACACTCTTAAAAATAAAGGTTCCAAAAGGGGGGTTTCGTAGTGAAGTAACATTTTGGGTTCCCCAAAGAACCTTTCAGTGAACAGTTCTTAAAAGAACCATTTTTTTCTTAGCGTGAAGAACATTTTCCTCTATGAAGAACCTTTTGTTCAATGGAAAGTTTCCATGCATGGATGTTAAGGGTGCTTCATGAAACCATAGATTCCAATAAAACCCCTTTATTTTTAGAGAGTAAGTTGATTTTATCCACTGGAATTTTATTAGCTGGTGAAAAGTGGGAGTTGCATACATGATTGGAGCCAGTACAAAGTAAGTTTGCTAAAACAATGGCCATCATGTGTGATTCTTGATGAAACTGCGTTTATGATCTATTGATTTTATGATTCTCTCCATGCCACCCCCAGCATCTCTGGAAAAGCACTCTGGATAAGACAGGAAACAAACAAATTTGTACTTGTCTTTAATTTTTTGATAAAACAGGGAGAAAGGAGCAGATATTTATGAGTGTGTATTGTTGATTTGCTTGGTCTTGCTTCCATAATTTCCATAACGCATTTTAGCTATGGTACTAGGAATAGGAATGCAATGCAAATACAACTTTTTTTCCTTTTAATTTTGCTGACTTGCCTTTAATTTGATGTTGCCTCACTTCCAGATGTTACCATTCAATCAGCATTGTGAAGCCAAACCTTTGGTCAACAGCACACATTCTGGTCCTTGCAGCTGGTCAATGCAAAACATTGTTTTACATGCCATTTAGGGGCAGATTTATCTGAAAAAGATGATAGCACAGTCATAGACAGAAGCAGAAGAAACGCAAATACAGTAACAGCAAGGCAGTGTCCACAGAAGAATGGTTATCTATACAAAAACTCAGAAGAGTAAGAGCTAGCAGTGATTATTTCACATAACTCAGAAAACAAAGCTGAATAGTTTTGCTCTTGTTAACTTGCTACCAAGTGCTTCAGACAAACTTTGAAAAATTTGGCAAACTTTGGCAAATCCGCCAATCCAACAAAAACTATCCAAACAGAACATGGCATTTCAGAGGGATGTGGATATGTCAAAGGCCCTGGTTATCCTGGTATTCACTAGACAGATAAATTAGAGGTAAAGAGCATAGACAAAGGATAATGTTACATGGACAGGTCTGTTCTACAAGGCAATCAGCCAGGAGTGAAACACGGCCCCTGAAAAACGAATTACCTTAGCGTGACTGAAAGGGAAACAATAGACTAAAAGGGTGCAGAGAGCAAGAAATTCCATTTTGCTTTGTCTAATGGGTCGATAACAGCAGATGGCCAAAAAGCAGCCAACAGGAGGGTGAAGA